GCTGAAGTAGGGCCGTGAAATAACTGAGAAGAGCTCTCACACTTCCAGTGAAAATGAAGGGCATGGGCCTCCCTCCCCTCCTTCCTTCCTTGACCTCCCTGGAATAACAGTTACAAAGACGAATGAAAGGTCACAGGAAAGAGATCAGAAATGGGGTCACGGATGTTCGGAATGGAAAGTGGAAGGCAGCGTGTTGACAGGTGAAACGCAAGACGCTCGGAAGGTGTGCAGGGCTGGCCAGGCTGCAATGGCGGAGGAGCCTGGGGGCGTTGCAGGAATGGAGGCTGGCAGGGACCAGAGGACTGAGTACAGGGCAGCAGTGAGCGTCGACAGAACAGCTGTCCTGACAGTCCCGAGTCGGGGCAAAGCCCTTCTCGCTTTGGCCTTCTGCTGCCTACTCTCCGGATCCACGTGTGCACACAGCACAGCCCTCGGCCTTTCGATTCAGAAGAAGTCCCTGGGAGAAGACAGGCCGGCATGCACAGCCAGGCAGAAGGTGCTCGTGCAACAGGGCAGATGGTGACCCTGCCAGGAAACTCACAGCCTACTTATGAGTGCCGGGTGCTCCCCGCAGACGTTTCCAATGCTATGCTGCCCAGGTACCTACTGGGGCTACTTATCAACATCCTGGCTGGCATCTGTCTGCTCCGGGCCTATCTGACTCATGAGCGCGTGGTAAACACTGACGGCGCTGAGAACACCGCTCCCCCGGGCTCGCTCATGTGTCACTGTGCCAGGCGGGGGAGCTTACAAACTGCAATGCAGAGACGCCATTAATGATATTCAGCCACGCGAGGGCAGCGACCGTATTGTGATCTGGCATCTTGAAAACAGATTTGCTGCGGAAACCCTGATTTGTCTCGAACGGTCGGGACCAACACTGAGAAAAGATCTGACACGGCAACAACCCCACTGTTTGTGCTTTATGCAGTGAAATTTATTATTACCTTCTTTCTAGTAAGTAACATACAGGCTTTATTATCTCATCTCATAGTTCAGTCAAAACCATTATCTTTATTTCCTTCCTGTCCTTTTTTTTTAAAGATAATTTTTCTTTTTAAAGGTTAGCAGTGGGGTGGTGAAGGACACAGACCTCCTAGCCGGCAGCAAAGAGGCCTGCCCGCCACCCGTCCGCCTCTGGGTCCCACGTCTCAGCTGAGTGAAGGGCAGCCAGCCACCTGCCCTCTACCCCACCTTCCTCTCCCAGTGCAGGGGCTTGGGGGGCTACTTACGGTGACTTCCTTCCCCAGGCTGACGGAGGCCAGGACTCTCTTCATTCCCTCTCCGCTTCCAACCTGCCAGATCAGGGCCTCCACAGCTTGGTTCTTCAAGGGCCAGTCTCTGGCTTGCAGCTCATACCAAACGGTCCTGTGGAGACCAGCCACCCACGTGGCCTGAGCTCCCTGGCGGCACGGGCTCGGCTCAGCTCAGCTCACACCCCGGAGGTGCCTGCTGCCCTGATGCCAGGAGCCCGGCTGGAGGACCCAGCATCCCCCTCCTACCTTCCTCACCCGCCAGGCTTCCGGGAACACCTTGATTCCCTCCCGGGGGGCCCTGTGCTCCCACTGTGGCAGGAAGACTCAGACAGCACGGGCTCTGGCCAGAGATCCCGGTACAACCGTTCAACCTCCGTGGGGTGGCTGCCCATGGCCAAGGTTGTCTGAGGCGTGACAAGAATGCCCAGCCCTGGGCCTGGCACACGCAGGTGCTCAGGAAATGATAGTTAAAGGTCAGGCCAGGAAGAGACCACCCGCGAGGGACGGATCCCCCGAGAGGTTACGGGATGAGGCCGTCACTCAGACCCTCCAAGTCCCCTTGCCCTTCTCAACTTATCTGGATGGGACCTTCTCCATTAGACCCACCCTGTCCAACCTGGGGGCCACGTGGGGCTACTGAGTAACTGAAATGTGGGGAGGGGAACTGAGGTGTAAAACACACACCAGCTTTTGAAAACGTTGCAGGGTAGAATTTTAATTTCTTATTTTGATTACACGCTGAAATGATAATATTTTGGCTATATTGAGTTAAATATCTATTGAAACGGATTTCACCGGTTTCTTTTTTTTTTTTTGGCCGTGCCACACTGCATGCAGAATCTTAGTTCCCCGACCAGGGATCTAACCACGCCCCCTGCAGTGGAAGCGCGGAGTCCTAACCACTGGACTGCCAGAGAATTCCCTCTTTTTCTTTTTTAATGTGGCGAAGAGAAAACTCTACACATCTGGCTCATATTATGTTTCTATATTTCTATGTTTATCGGTCAGCACCCCAGCTCTTTGTGGGGCACAGCTGGCAGGACTCCCTGTTATTCCAGAGGGACAGTCCTTGATGAGCTCTGGTGAGCGTCCTCATGGGGCAACAGGTGGGAATGACACCCAGAGTTAAGCATTCTATACGATCAGCTAATTTAGTCCTCATTTAACAGCTCTACCGGGGAGGTACTTTATTCTTCCCATTTTACAGGTGGGGAAACAGAAGGTCAAGGACGTGGTCACTGGCCCAAACAAGTGGCTGATTCAGACTCAAAGCACACCTCCCCCTGCCCCCCCCCCCCCCGTGGCCAGTAGGATCCTCTCTCTGAGCCACACTTGGCCTCAGAGCCTCAGGCGGAGGGGTGCCAGGGGCCTCCTCACCCGAATGCATAGACGTCAGCCGCTTTGGAGAAGGGCAGCTGGTCCTCGTCCTTCCCGGGGGTCATCTCCCTCACGATCTCGGGGGCCAGGTAGCACAGCCAGTCATGTGACAGCTTCAGCTCGTTCTCACGCCTGGAGGCCAAGAGGCCAGGGCAAGGACATGGCCTTCAGTCAGCAGCAAAGAGGCCCGCAGGGCAAACACCCGCCCCGGGGCTGGCACACCACCCACCATGGCCCAGAAAAGCAGCACACCCATCATGCACTCGCCAGGGCACCTGCACTCCGGGGGCACGTTACCAAGGAGTGATAACCAGGCTTTTCTAGAAAGCAGGCCAAGAACAGGCATCGGCAGGGAGTGGCACTTGAGGGTGCCGATTCTCTACCCTGGGAGTGTGAAGGGCATCTCCAAGCAGGAGATCAGATCTGCCTGTGGGCCTTACAACCCGGCCTGGGTCTGGCTCTCCAGCCCGGCTGCCGCCCTCCCTCCTGGGGTCCAGACGCTTGGGAAGGAGCCTTTCTCCCCATCCCCACGCCCCCTTCAAGATTTGCGGAACTAGAACCCGACGTTCTTCCTCATAATGGGGACGTGAACCCTGGTCCCCTGCCCAAGTCGGTGAGCATACAGGGAACATGTGAGTGAGGGGACCCAACCACCACGGGGGCCAGCCTGAGAATGACGCACTACGAGTGACCTAAGTGTCACCCAAACTTGATTCTGGACCAGAAACACAAGAGCAGGACCAGAGCAGACCTGGCCTTTCCTACAGGGAGGGCTGCCCCTCAGTGACAGACGGCGAGTGCCCGGACCTCGGCTGGACCTCAGGCCCACCAGCACCGCCCAGTTCCTCCCTAGTCTGTCCAGACGCCCAAGGCCAACTGACCGTCCCTCTCGGACCACGCCTGAGATCCCGAACAGCCCGAAGTCTGTGATGACCACTTTGCCGTTGTCGTAGAAGACGTTCTTGGACTTGAGATCTTTGTGCACGATGCCCTTGGCGTGGAGATAGCCCATTCCCTGGAAGACAGCGAGCCTCACGTCAGGAGCGGAGGGAAGGTGAATGACGAATGACTCAGCTCCTGCTCTGGGCCGGGGCCTGAGTGGGACGGGACATCCTACCCATCCCACCCCATTTAATCTTCACCACCCTGTGCAGTGTAACTGTCTCCTTTTTACAAAGGAGGAAAGCCAGCCTCAGAGATGGGAAGTCACCTGCCCCACGCCACACTGCAGTTCAGCGGCATTGCTGAGATCTGGCGCCAGGCCAGCCCGCGCTCCTGCTGCGTCAGCGCGCTGCCCAACACCCACCTTCTACTCAGATGAGGCGTGGAAAGGGGGAGGGGTGAGGGGCTGGGGGTCAGGAAGTATATAGAGGTTCCCTGTGATGCTACTCTCTGTGTCAAGTTATAAAAGACCCGAGTGATGTGGGGTCTCTCTCAGGCTTTGCTGGCCTCTCCCCTCAGGCTGGGCAAGGGCTAGGGTTGGGGAACAGAGAGGAATTCCCATAGAGGGAGCCCCTGAGCTCAGGTGGTCCCACTGCCTGTGCTGTGGTAGAAGTCCTGGACTAAAGCTGAAATCCAGCCCAGATTCTAACTCACTGTGGGGCCTTGGACTTGACTTCTAAGCCTCAGTTTCCTCAACCTGCCAAGTGGCAGGTCAGGGCTGGGTGATTTCTAACCAACGCTCTATTTGGACTGAACACTGCCAGGCGCACGGGATGTAGGAGACCTCACGCAGGCATGACCTCATCCAAGGCCAAAGCCAGGATTCCCAGGTCCCCTGCTGCTCTGATGCTCTTGGGAACGGGGAGCGGGGAGGGAGAAGGGGGGTACAGTACGAGACGCATGACTGAAATGGGCATCCCTGCCGGGTCCGAAAGAGGCACATGTAAGCCCGTCTCCCAATCTCCCACATCGAGGGTGCTTCACGTGTGAGAACTCCGCCTGGCTTTAAAGGTATCTTGGGGTGAGACGGGGAGGGGTAAAACCAGCGAAAGCCACATTTAGGAAACAGAAGAATGAGCTGTGAGGCGGAAGCAGACAGAACTCAGCCGAGCGCAGAGCTCAGACCGAGTGGGGCGGGAGCGCGTCAGAGAAGAATGTGCACGAGGCAGATGCTCTTCTGCAAGAGATGGGAGGGCTCGGGGTGCACCGTGGCCACTTCCCTCAGGCCTGCTGAGAGCTGTCATCCTGCCACGGAGGCTGGGAGTTCCAGGAAAGAGTAACTTGCTCTTTCCCAAAACACCATCCTGAACGTAAAACGATCCTTCTTAAAATTTCTGCCCATTTCCCAAACCAAACCAAGGCACAAGCCTTCTCCAGTGACCAAAGAGAGCCAAGACCCCCATCTTGGGTTGAACAGGGACCAGCTGTGTGACTGAGGATAAGTGCCTGTACCTCTCTGAGCCTTGTTTATAAAATAGGTGTCACAGCCTCAAACGGCCAGAGAGTAGACAGGAAGTGCCCAGGTCTGGAACACAAACCCTCCTTCCTTCCCATCCTTTCACAATGCCTCTAGAGTGGCCCCCAAGCCCTCGAACCAAAGGTCAAGCCCCCGTCATTATATCCTGAGCCTCAAAATACCAGAGATGAGTACAAAAGGAAGTGGCTTAGAAGTTCTCAGAAGAAGGGGGATGGGGAAAATAAATAAGCCAGGAGAGACGAAGCTTCCGGCTCTGCAGCTCTAAAACCTTTGCACAACTTTTCTCTTCTGCCCTGGAATCTTCCAGATGGCTCACTGAACCTAACTCAGCAACCAGACTCCCACAGTGTCCTGACGATAAGGAGAGAGAACAGTTTGGGGGAGGAGGGCCGAGTCGGGCAGAGTGTGGAGCAGGGCCCAGCAAGTTTGGGGCCATCACAGAGTAGGTGTGACGCTCTGCAGCTCCCTCCAACGTCTCTGCAATGAGACAGACTACAAAGGAAGGCGTAAGTGTGATATGTGGGTTTTGGGGGCTGCAAAACTTTAATGCATTAGTGTAGCCACGTGGAAACGCCACGTGGAAATCTTGGTGTTCCTAAATGCCACTGAGCTTTTTATCTTTTCCTTTCCAACGACGCACACACACACACACACACACAATGGATGCAAGGAGGGAGGGAGAAAAAAGAACAGAAGGCAAGACTAACTAACGACAGGAAAGGGACAAAAACTTGGTGGGAGCTGGTAAGACAAAGCTTTCCCACAAAAACGAGAACCTGGAAAGAGGAAGTCCTATCCAGCACTAATCTAGTTTTTCTCTGGGCTTGTCTGTCGCTAAATAAAGCAACAAATAAGCTTTTCTTTCATTTTTGTTTAATTACTTTTAAAAGATGAAAGGAGGGGCTTCCCTGGTGGCACAGTGGTTGAGAGTCCACCTGCCAGTGCAGGCGACACAGGTTCAAGCCCTGGTCTGGGAAGATCCCACATGCTGCGGAGCAACTAAGCCTGTGCACCACAACTACTGAGCCTGCACTCTAGAGCCCGTGAGGCACAACTGCTGAGCCTGCATGCCACAACTACTGAAGCCCACACTCCTAGAGCCCGTGCTCCGCAACAAGAGAAGCCACCGCACTGAGAAGCCCGTGCACTGCAACAAAGAGTAGCCCCCGCTCGCCGCAACTAGAGAAAGCCCGTGCGCAGCAATGAAGCCCCAACGTAGCCCAAAATTAATTACTTAATTATTTTTAAAAAAAGGCTGCCTGAGTTGAGCCTGAAGCCCTGTCCTCATGAAACTTGGATGTGGAAACTTTAAGGCAGAACCTCTGTCCCAAACCTTAATCGATTCTAACAGACTCTCACCAAGCGCTGGCCCTGGACCCAACGCTCTCTCCATGGATTATCCCAGTTTACCTTTGCACCAATCCAATGAGGGAGGCGACACTGGCATCTCCATTTCACAGGGGAGGAAGCCAAGGCTCAGAGAGGCTAATCGACCTGCCCGAAGTCACACAGCTGGTGTGACCAAGATTCAAACTCAAGCTATCTGTCTTTAAAACCCACTGAGTTTCTCCAGGGTGTCCAGCTCCCAGCAGACAAGACAGGGACAGAGGGAAGGAGATGGGGGTCCCACCCCTGAGGTGCCCCACCTAAAGGGAACAACAGAGCAGCCACCACCACTACCCTGACACGGTCAGACAGACTGGGGGACAGCCAGGAACTCTGGAACCAGCTGGATGCCCCTTCACCTTAATGATCTCCTGGGCGATCTGCCTGGTCTTGTTGATGTCCACAGATGTCTTGGGGTCCCTCACAAACGAGTGCAACGTCCGTCCCTTGCAGAAGCTGTGAGGAGTGGTGGGTCAGGCAGAGATCTGGGGCCTGTGCAGCCCAACCCAAGCCCCTCTGGAGCCGGGGAGAAGCAGGGGCAGAGCTGTGCCCACCGGCCTCGGGAGGGCTCTCTCTGTCCCCGAGACCCTGGGTGCCTGAATCCTCGTTCTTGACCAGCCTGATGCCCATTCCTGCTGGGGCCTGGCCTGAGTGGGCAAGAACACCGGTTCCCCGAGGCCTAGGGCCTGCCCACCATAGAACAGGAAACTCAGTTCACCGAGCCTCCTGGCAATTCAGAGCAGCCCACCTTTGCGGAAGCTCGAGGCAGGAACACGCCCAGGCAAACTCAGCAGCCAGGGAAGAACCTTTGGCCTTCTCGGGCTATAACCAGGCAGCATCAGGGCTCTGGGCTCACCATAATGATGTTCATGATCGTGTTATTTTCTGATCACAGGGATTTTATTACAATGTGGAGTGTGCAGGAGGGGAGGGGTGGCTGTCAGGCATGTCAGAGTGATTATTAGATAAGGGGCTTGCATGCTGTGGTCCCCACCTGTACCGACTCCTAAAACCCGGAGCGAGGAAGGACCCAGGTAGAATGTGTAGCTTCAGTCCCCTGCTCCAGGGAGAAGCTGACTTAAGCCATCTGAGGAAGGGGCTAGTTTTTAGGAATCATCTCCAAGGAGATAAGATTCTTGGACCCTCAAGGTCTGGAATATCGGCTGACGGTTGCTTTTCTGTGTTCCAGTCCCCTCAGCAGATTCTAAAGCACGTTAAATTTTTTGTTAATATTCTTTTATTCTTTTGCTGCATGTATTCCCTTTAAGGAGACTCAGATCTCTCATGGGACTGGGTGGATGAGAGAGAGATGGGAGGATGGATGATGGACGGCACTGAGGCTGGGATCCGGGGGAGCTGAGCTGGCGTAACCACATGCTCCCTGAAGCATCATGGTGTCACGCTTGGGCTGGAATTTTGTCCCCACCCCACCAGGTCCACGTGGTGACCTGATGATCTCACACTGCTTGGGAGTTCTAGTGGGTAGTTATCTCGGATATGCAAGCAAGATGGAAATCATTTTTTACTTAGTAAACAAATACAGTTTGTTTGAGGAGAAGGTGTTTTTTCAAAGCACAGGGTCCAACTATAGAGAATGTCATCAGACTATTAATGAGTATTCTTTTGGCTGATGGGATTAAAGTGGTTTTTAGTTTTTTTCTTGACACCACGTGTATTCCAAAGATTCGTCATTGACCTCATATTGTTTTTCCTGATTTTAGAAGTAAAGACCCAATAACAACTTTTTCAATGCCATGGGCAAAAATGTTTCAGTTTCACACCCCTCTGGTGCTCAGCGGGGGTAATGGTCACTCATCCACTGATGGTGGGAGGGGAAACTGGTGGACACTTTCTGGAGTAGAAATGGACAACGTACATCAAAACGTGACATACGTGCACTCTGACCCAGCCCCGCACACGTACTGCCAGAAGTTCACCAAGGTACGGAAACAGAGATGCTCATGACGACAAAGTGTCCAGCAAAAGAGGGCTGGTTAAATAAATTAGGGGAGGACCAGCGATCGGGTTCCAGAGAGAACCCAGAGCCCAGCTGTGGGACTCGACCCAATTCCACTCCACTTTCAGTGACACCATATTGGTAACTTGAAATCAACTGCGGTGAGAGTGTTTACACCACAGGAATTGACAGATGCCATGTATCAATACTAGAGCTTCCCTCACCACCACCCAAGAGCTGGTTGTTAAACATTTACCAGCACACCACTGGAGGTTCTGCTACGTGATGTGATGTGACGGGAACGCTATGCAGGTATTCAGATTAGACCTCAGACCTGCCCTCCAGCCAAGAAGGCAAAGTAACCAGTAGGCTCTTTGGTGTGTATTTTTACAAACACATAAATAGTTACAAACCAAATAGATAAATAGTTTAAAAACATGAGCGTATACAAATTTTTTTTTATTTTAATGGAAGGCGTGATAAGGAACTGTTTACAGTATCCACCTTTGGGGAGAAGCACCCGGTTCGGGTGGGAAGAGACTGGTTTTCACTTTATACTTTTCTGGAACATTTGAATTTTCTCTATCCTTAGGTAATTGTTTTACTGATTTATTTATTTAATGTCAATGGGGTTATATGATGGAGAAATTACACCTCATTTTTGGTTTTCTTCTCTGTACCTCTCTAAATGAAAACTTCCATGCCCTCCGGGGTGTCCACACAAATAACAGGGCCCCCAGGGAAAGGGGAAGAGGAGGCGGCCACCCCAGGGAGAGCGGGACCAGGTTACCTGGTGATGATGGCCAGGTGCGGCGGGTTCATGCAGGCCCCCATGAAGAGCACCACGTTCTCATGCCGCGTCTGCCGGTAGTTCATCACCTCCTTTTTGAACAGCTTCAGGTGGTCCTGGTTGTGGCCGTCCATCTCCAGCAGGCGGATGGCCACCTCACCGTGCCAGCGGCCGCGGTGCACCCGGCCCCAGCGGCCCTGCCCGATGGGCTCGCCCAGCTCCACCTGCTCGAAGGGGATGTCCCACTCCTGCAGGTACACGCTGGTCTGGCTGGCCTTGCGAGAGATGGGGCCTCGCCAGGGCCGGCGGGAGCTCGGCAGGTCATCCAACTCGTCCTCGTCGTCTTCGACCTCCGACCTGCCGGCCTCGGGCTCCTCAGCCTGGAAGGAGAGGAGGAGGGGATAGAGGGGGCAGGGGACCTGGGGGCAGGCGGGGAGCAGAGGGGCCTGGGTTCAGGAAGCCTGGGCTCTAGTCGCAGCTCTGCGGGGCTTGCTGTGGACAGTAGGCAGGTCACTTCGCACCACACAGCCTCAATGTCCCAATCCACAGACTACGGCACTTGGCCCTTTTTTCCGCTAATGTTCCAAGACCCACCTATGAGTGACATCTAATCGCTGGGGAAGAGCATTAACATCCCCTGGCATGAAGGACTGGACCGCATTCACCCGTTCTGGCTATGCTTTTGTTGAAACACACAGTTTCTGACTCTCCACTGTGTAAGAATAAATCAGTCTGCTATCTGCTCAAGATCTTTAAGCCACTGCACTGCTCGGTTGACACTGGTTCAAGGGTCAAGGTAGCAATTCTTGGCCCCGGCTACAGTCAGAATCACCTGGGGATCTTTGATAAGTCCACACACCCGGCCCCACCCCGGACAGACCCAAGGAGAGTCTTCCGGGCTGGGGCCCAGGCCTTCTGGCTGGGGGTGAAAACCACGGGAATGAAGAGTTCACTTTAGCCTCAAAAAACCAGAAAAGCAGAAGGAAGCTTGCTTCGCGGCACCCCTCGTTGCTCTCCCTGCCATGTGCACCGCTCGAGTCTGCTGCGGCGGGTGGCGGGTGGGCACCTGAGACGGCCCTCAACAGGGCCCGGTGCCCACATGCTCCCCAGACCCCTGCACGTGCTGAGCCGGGGAGAGAGGAGAGAGATGCACCGTCGACGGCTGGCGTGTCGCCATCACTCACCTCCACTTCGCGATCCTCGGACACATCTGCTTTGGGCGGGTTCTCAAGCCTAAGAGTGAAACAGCGATTGTCCAAGAGACCCCGAGGCCGGGCCATTCTGCTCCCAGCTGGGCAGGGGACCCCCCACGTGAGGTCTGAGAAAGGGGCACCAGGTCTGGATCCCTACTTTGACCCACAAAGGCAGTCAGGATGCTGTGGAAACACACAGGAGGCCGAGGACCAGACCCCGTTTCCCTTCTCTGGCCTTGGCCTTCTCCAGACTTAATCTGAGGGTGGTAGGGGCCGACGGGTGGGCAGTGACCATCAAGGCCCTTTCGAATCTGACAACCGGTACGGGGCTCTGAGCACACGCACAGGACTTGGAATTCTGCTTGAGAACTGGCTCTGTTGCTCCCTAAGCTGTGTGACTGGATGCAATTTCTTAACCTCTCTGAGCTGGCTTCCTCATCTGTATGTTGAGGATGACACCTACTTTACACCTGGCTGAGAAATATACAAAAAAATGGGAGACAAGTACTCAGCATGGCCTGACACAGAAAGGGCTCCATAAACAGGGGCCGTAAAATTAGGCTTCTCTAACGCTGAGTGCCCTTCGCCGGGCCTTCCTGGGTCACAGACTGCTCCTGCCTCACACACTGCCCCACCCAATGCTGACTGCACCAACAGGAGGCAACTAAAACCCTATGGCTCAGTTCACTGGATCACAGGGTGAATTAGCCCAAGCAGTGTCCCATCTGGCTGCCCAGGTACATGGCAAGGTCTGGAATGGGAGGGTCAGAGATTTAAAGGTGGAGGTGGGAGGCGGTCAGGGATGTGCATCCAGCTTTAACAAGTCCCCAAGGAGGAGAGAGCGCAGGGCTGCCTACCGGGAACTGTCCGCCTCGGCGAATGGGACTGCCTGAGGAAATGTCGAAATGTCTGGAGGAAACAGAAAACAAACATGAGGCATGAGACCCCCTTCCACTCCCCCGGAAGACACAGTGTTTGCGTAGCCAGCACCCGCAGGGCCGAGCGTGCTCCGCCAGCAGCCCCTCGCTGGGCTGCACTCGTGCTCCGGGGCCACTTCCCCTGGGCTTTTCCTAAAACAGAACACGGACGCAGCCTCCACGGCCCTCGGTTTGGCCCACACAGCTCTGCCCTGGGAAGGGACTCCAGTGGGGGAGGAGGCTGAGACTTCTCCGTCACCACCATCGCCCCGTGGCCAAACCGCCCCAGACAAGCAAGTGGTGAAGGCGACAGGGCTGCTCTTTACCGGGTGTGTGGGCCAGACCCTCCTCCACGGCTCCGAGGCAGGGGCTGGTTTCAACACCCCCTGAGAGTGGGGAGACTCTCGGGCCAGCAGAGGCCAAAGGCCGGACTCGCAGGTGGCTCATTAGTGACACGTGGTGCCTGGCACAGCCGCCGGGGACTGCTGGTGGGGACCAGGGGCCCCATCCCCTCAGTTTCAGGGTTTGGGTGGCCGGTGGGGCAGCCTCTGGGCAGAGAGCAATGCACGGTCCACACGCCGGGGGCCCCAGGATTGGGCAGCTGGCACTGACCCCTGAGCCTGGGGCCTTCCCAGCTTCAGCACTGAAAGCCCCACATCCAGGGGACACAGGACAGATGGTCACCGCAGTGTGGGGCCAACATGTTACAGGCCAAATGCCCCACGGCTGCTTCTGCCGCTGGCTTCTTTCTGTCCTCTCTGGTCCCTTCTAATCGCACTCGGGAAGGCTGACAGCCCCAGGCCTGGGTGGGCCCCTTGCTCCTCTTTTCAGCAAAAGAAGAGACTGGAGGTGGCAGTGGCTTGAGCTAATCAGGGCCTCTCCCTGTCCTCTAGGACAAACAGCGCCCCCATCAGCCAGCAAACCTCCCTCTGGGCTTTCTCCAAGGCTACCCCTGTAGCTTTCTCAACATCTCTATCATACTTGGAGAGTCTGATAGAGGTCGTGGGCCTTCTTACTAGGGAAATGCACACATGTACCCAACATCCTGTGTACAATTTCTGGGGAATCCTAGACCCAGAAGCCTCTTCTAAGGCTCTTCCAGACACCGCTGCACTGTGTCTGCAGACTGTCAAGGGCGGCCTGGTGTTTCCACCCACCCAACGCGGCTCACATGTTTCCACAGAAGATAAACACATGCACGGGGACGGGGGGACATGGGGAGGTGGAGTTCTGGGGAGAAACCGCACCCCAAGTTGGGGGGGAGGCAAAATGTCTCTGAAGCTTCATATTTTTCCTTAAACATTAAGAGTGCATTTTGCATTCTGCTCCAGATATGTCCACATTTGTTTTAATAGAACTATATTTCCCTTCTCTCCTCCCTGACATATCTTCAGAGCAAGATGGACCCTTCTGGAAGAAGAACCGCACGTTTTCCCCATGCTTTCAAGGGTGCTCCCCTGTACGTCACCCTAGAGCAGGAACCAGGGAGGCTCTTGGAGGGGAACCACGGAAAAAATGGGTGTGAAGCCACAGAGCAGCGCAGGGAGCCTGGCCCTGAGCCCAGCCAGCCTGCACAGCCTGCAGAACCACTGGGGTGGGCCTGTAAGAACTAACAGGGGCTCCCGGTCACTCCCCTCATGGAGCTGGGCTGGAGAACAGAAAAGCCTGGAATAACCAAAATACCAGGACTTCAAGACAGACCTGTTTAATCCAGGAAAAAAAAAATTAGCTACAGTCTTTGTCTAAAACACACAGAACCTTCGTAGGGCTGAGTTCAGAATTAAAGTTGCAGATTACGTGTACTATTGCTTGTCACCTCCAGCTAGAGAAATAAGTACTAATTGTATAAACTCCTTAGGGACAGGAATATGGTCAAATGCAAAGGCTGGCACAGAAGGTGTACAAAACAATTTCTGTGGAAGGGAATCAACGAGAAGGTCTTCCTGAAAGTTTTCTTCTTTATAAACTTTCTGCCCTGGAGGCATTTCCAACAACTGCCAGCAGATGGCGCTGTGTGACAAGGCTCTGGAAGGTGAGGCCCGCCCAGTAAGCGAAGGCTGCTGACCTTCCCAAACTGGCATCCCCTTCTTTAAGATCGGGTAGTAGTTTCCCCGCCATTATATAGAGGAAGATATCTTGTCAGAGGCTCATAAGACATCAGCAAGAGATCCACTCCCCTTATTCTGCAGACTGGGTTTCTGCCATCTCCTAGCTGTGTGACCCTGGACAAGTTGCCTGAAGTGTCTGTGCAAGACGAAGGACTGGATGGATGCCAAGGGTCCTCCCAGGAAGGCACTGCTCCTGTGAAGGGCCAGTCTCAAGGCTACTCCCTCTGCCCCCTTGCCCAGCCTCAACAGACAGTCAGCTTTCAAAATAGGTGGGTGTGAGACTCAGGTACCTCCAAGGCGCCCAGGGAGAGGGCTGGACGGAGGCGGGTCACGTCGAGGGGCAGTTGGTGGAACCATGCAAAGGACTCACCTGGGAAGATAAACTGCTGTCTAGGATGCATATAGTAGGCAGCTTTAAACAGAAGAGCAGGTAAGTCACACACACAACAGCAAATGCAGCAGCAGGAGAGGGGACGGAGGCACGGGCTCGGGGGAGAGGGGCTGGTTATAGGGCTGGGGCAGCCCTTCCCCACCTGCCCTGCCCCAGCTTCCACGGAGGAAGGAGGAGAAGAGCTGGGAGGAAGCGGTTATTAGCAGGAGCCCCCAGGAGTAAAGGCACTTGCACCGGAGGGCTGGGGTTTGGAGACCCAGTCCCAGGGAACACCCTGCTGCAGAGCCCTGGCCAATTCCATTCACCTCCCAGGCCCCCTTCTCCTCTGTGAACTGCGCATGAGCCCAGGAGGGCAAAATACAACGGGGAGAAAAACTGAGATTCTGAAAGCATTGAACAGTGCTGGGTGCAGAAGGGAAAAATCCCCCGGCCCGCGTTCACACCTCCAAGTGCTGAGGCTTCGGTCACTAGGAGTCACCATCCAAAACAATAACCTCGCCCATGGTTAGCCTCGGAGATACACAGAAATGCTCCCCACAATAGAGTGGGTGGACGGTAGGAGGAGGTCCCATCCCACCTTAACAGCCGGACCAGCCCAGCCCGTGACCAGAGAGAGAGCAGATCCTGGAGAGAGAGGGCTCTGTGCAGGGGACAATGTGAGGCCAGCCTGGGGACATCAGGGAAAGCTGAGAAGCTCTGGCAGACATCACACAAAGGACTTTTTCACTGGCTGTTGTTTTTCAAACAGGCCCTTCCTTTCAGAAAAACCCAAACTAGGACGTTCAGCAGAAGGCCCGGTTTCAGAGCATAACAATGACAGAGCAGAACACGAGAGGAGGGTGATCACGCGGGGCCCTCGCTGGGTCTCTGGGGAGGGAGAGGTGGGCTCGGGACGACACACTCATGTCGGGAGATGTCCAGCCACAGGCGTGTTAAGGTGAAGGGGCAGGCAAAAAAGAAGAAGGATTCTTAAAAGTCTCACCATCCCCCAAAAGAAGTCCCTGGGACCCTGGGGAGATGGGTCCAGAGAGGCTGCCTGGCCTCCTGCCAGCTGCAAGCAGTCCCAGCCAGGGCTCCCCTGGCACAGGGAGAGCTGTGCCTCTGTCCTCCCAGCCTGGAGCCCCAGGGGCCAGTGACAGGTGGGGCCTGGCCTGGCACTCCACGGGCTGAAGCTGGCAGTGGGCCTGGCTGGGTCCGGAGCAAACTAGAATATCCCAGCCGCCCTCCTCCCCTGAGCTGCCACCTGAAACACACCGAGGGCCAAGACCAACTGCAAGGGGCCTCCTGGGAGGCCAGGGCCGGAGTTCAATCCCGGACGGGTGAGTGGGCTTTGCTCTGCTCCTGGGGGAGGTGGGACACCCCAGGCCTGGCCGAGCGGCGGGGTCCCTGTCCCTCTAGAGCCGGGGCAGCCGGGGCCATGGTCAGAGGTCAGCTCTGCCCTGGCACGCACTCCCCGGTGGACTCCTAACCTCATCCATGTTAGGTTAGGATAGCCTAACCCCAGCCTCACACGGTCTCTTGTTTTATGGAAAAGGGAACCAAAGCACCCCTTTAAGCAGCTTGTCCAGACCACAGAGCAGGTAAGCCACAGAGCCCCGGATTCCCTCGCCCCAGCCTTCTGGGCCTGCCCCAGCCCCCCGTGCTGCCTATCTTGCTTCCTGGGAGCTCAGAAGCCCCGAGTGAGCGAACAATGCCCAGGAGAAGCCACCCCATGCATGGGAGGGCAGCGTTGGGATCAGGTCAAGGACCCAGGCTTGGGGCTTCCCTGGTGGCGCAGTGGTTAAGAATCCGCCTGCCAGTGCAGGGGTCATGGGTCTGATCCCTGGTCCGGGAAGATCCCACATGCCGCGGAGCAGCTAAGCCCGTGCGTCACAACTACTGAGCCTGCGCTCTAGAGCCCGCGAGCCACAACTACTGAACTGGCGCGCCTGGAGCCCGTGCTCTGCACCAAGAGAAGCCACCGCAATGAGAAGCTGGCGCACCGCAACAAAGAGTAGCGCCGCAACTAGAGAAAGCCTGCGCGCAGCAACGAAGACCCAACGCGGCCAAAAATAAATAGATTAAATAAATTAAAAAAAGAAAAAAACCCAGGCTTTACATCAGACTTGGCTTTGATCCCACCTCTGCAGCTTACATGCTGTGCAGCTCAGGGCAAGCCACTTGCTCCCTCTGAACCTGCGTCCCCATCTGTAAAATGGGTGCAATCACAGCAAGTTTAAACACGGGGATGCTCTTGAGCTCGGCACAGAGCCTGGCTCCCAGCAAGTGCTCTTAGTGGCGGCAGTGTTTGACCTTGAGCCTGCAGAGAAGGGACATGCAACCCCACCCCTGAGGCCCGAGAAAGCCCCAAGGTGTGGTACCTGGGAAGTTGAACCTGCCGTCCCTCTGGCCGGGCGAGGGGTTGGGGGGCGTGGTGGCACTGGGTGGGTTGGACGATGTCGGGAAGGGCGCTGGCGAGGAGGGCGTGGAAGACGTGGTGGAGGACGGGTTGCTGCTGGAGTCCAGGTGGTTCATGGCCAGAGGATGCTCCTGCGGGACCAGAGACACAGGCAGTGGCAGGGACCGCCCAGCCCCGCCTGCCCCCCACCCCTCCCCACCTAAAACGGAGGAGGTCAGCCAGAGCGTCCTGGCGTTTTATGGGTCTAATATTTGAGGGGAGAACGGAACAGGGAGATGCGCACCTCAACGTCCATCCCCTGGAGGGCTCCTCTCATCTTTCTTATTTCAGCTCAAGCGTCCTTTCCTCCCCGAAGTCCTTCCCCAGTCCTGGCCGGGGCGTACTTCTCCCCTTTATCCCCCCATGGCTCCCAGCACCCTCCATCAGGGTACTTGAACTACGGTTTGTCAGCTGCAGGCGTCTTGGGCGGTTTTCTGAAGACTCTCTCTCCACCACGCTGTGTGTGTCCCCCGAGAGCAAGGACCACACCTGCTCGTCATACACCCAGGGCCTGGCTCTGCTCTTCTAACGAGTTAAATTCAGCCTCTGACAAGCCTCTGTTTGGTGGGTGGTAACAGTGGGTGCCTAATAAGTGCTCCCTCTACTCAGCAGGGGGACCTGCCGGCTAGGACATTCAGTGGCGTGGGCCCTAGCAAGGCCAGAGGGCCACCTGAGGGAGGGCTACTGGGGGGACTGAGTCTACATCAAGGGGGGACCCTGGGCCTGATCAGTGTTTCCCAGACCACACACCGATTCCTCAGGGGGTTGGGGAGGGATTCCTGGTCAAAAAAGTTGGGGCCAAGTTGGGTTAAATGCTACGCTCAACCGGCTTCTCCTCTGCAGGCCCTCAAGGCTCGGGGATGCACGGTAGACTCTGGAATCCACCAAAGCCATGCAGTGGGCTTCACTGTCCAGCGACCACCCACACTGCCTACTGCCAAGCTAAAGGGGGGAGGGGGCTGCAACCACTGGCCCTCACTCTGTCCACTCACATGTCAAGGCCAGACCCTCCATCCCAGTCAGGCCAGGCCAGCCAGGGCAGGGGGCTAGCTCGAGGCAGGTTGAATCCCAGCCCCGACTCAGCAGCTGTGTGACCTTGGATGAATCAACCCACCCTTCTGAGCCGCACGGTGCACTGTCTACACAGCAGGGGCATCAGCTGCTGCCTCACGGGGTTGTATTCGCTCAGCATTCAATACAAACGTTTCCTCGCTGCCTGTTGTGTGCCAACCGCCAAGGCAGGCGTCAGGGGCCCGACGGGAGCACAACCCCACAGGCCTGCCCCCCACAGCACCCGTGCACCCTGGGCCTGCCTCTCATTCACGGGGGACCCCGTGCTCAATTTCCTCATCTGTAAAATGGAGGTGATATCAAATTCCCTGGCGGTCCGGTGGTTAGGGCTCTGCGCTTTCACCGTCGAGGGCGCAGGTTCGATCCCCGGTGGGGGAACTAAGATCCCGTAAGCCGTGTGGCGCGGCCGAAGAAAGAAAAATAATGGAGGTGATATCAGCACGCGACTTTTAGAACTACTGTGGGGATCAAATGAGGTATCAATGGAAAAAGTTCCCGACTCAGTGTAAGTACTCAGGAAATGGTGGCTCAAAATAGGGGAGGGCGGGTATGGGCACATAACTAAGATTTGGACACAAATGTGAAAATCTACGAAATGGCTAAATATGGGATCCCTAAAGGCCTCCCTCTGGCCACACACCCCGGGTTGCAGTATCCTGCTCCCCTGCTGGACCTCCCCATTGGGGGTGCTTCACAGAAAGGAACCCTGGGTGAGGGTTCGCCTCACATTATACCTTTTTGGTCAGTGCTTTGGGGAGGGTTCCGAAATGGGGTTCAGCTGCTCTGTCCACCGGATTGTTGATGTCCGAGGGGACAGATTCTGTCCTCCGAAGCCTGGGTACTGTTTAAAAAGAGGTGCGTGGTAACCATCAGCAGGAAACAGGTTCAAGAAAGATGCACCCCAAATCCAGAAGGGGGAAGCGCAGGACACTCACGCGGAAGGAAGGATATTCTACAGGCGGGGGCTTCTTTTGTACACTTGTTGTGACACTTCAACCTGGTAACGAAGGCAGGGTCAGTGCACGAAAGCCACACGGGACCCCGGGACACACGCAGGGGCTCGGAAGCACTGCCTGGAAGTTTTGTGCAACACTCAACCATGACTGCCTCAGCTCCCACAAATGTCTCAACAAACATGAGCTTAAGCGTGTAGAACATCTGATGTTAATAGGACTAGCAGCTACTATCTGTTGCGTACGACCGTGTTCCTGCTATCACCTGCCCAATCTTCACGTCAAAGCACGTTTGATTACACCCATTTTAACTTGCTGTGGGTCACACAGCGATTTCTCTTTTCTAAACAAAAGGAGACCCTCCACCCGTGTTCAGAAAGCTTGAGACAAGTCTGAACTTAAAAGAGATGAATTAGAAGGAAAATGTTTCCATTACCAAAGGGTCCCAGGGAAGCAAGGGGCAGCCCCTCCTGCTACATTCCTACACAGGCCACGTGGTCTGAGGACCAGAGTGGCAGAAGTGGAAAGAGCTGGATTCTTGGTTTGGTTCTGCCGGCTGAACCCCCTCTTGGGGTTCTCGTTGATCAAATGGGCCGATGGCTGGGGCTCTACCAACTTCACTGCAATTGCAGGAGAGCCTGGGGCTCAGAGGTTATCCTGTGCTCTCTGCATGAAAGGTATTACTTGAAAGGGTGCTGGAGGTCCCCAATTTAAAGCCAAATGGCCAGGAGCCACAAAAGACCTAGACTGGTGAGAAAGGTCTGGCATCTCCTTTGCGTTTTCCTGATGACTCTCCTAACCACAATTTATCCAATTGACACACATGAGACCCATCACCTACAGTCTGGCAGGAGCCCAAATGCTTTAACTATACACACTAGCTCAGATTCTTGGAGCAATCCTGATGGATAGAGAGACCTGGACTCATCTTCCCAGATGTATACCTGACAAAAATGAGGCCCAGAAAGGGCAAGCACCTTGCCCCAGGTCACACAGCAACACAGGGGCGAAGTAGACTGGGAGCAGACTCCAGGTCCATCCTCTATAAGGTGAGGGCAGCCAGACAGCAGGGGACAGACTCTGCTCTGCTCACCCTGTTCACACTCTGCTCACCCTGTTCACTATCCTTGCCTTTCTTTCCTACCAGAGACCACAACAGTAGGAAAAAATGTTGAATTTGTATAGAATCTACATTCTCTCCTCACTCTCTTCTGAAAGTACCATGAGCCACTTCTCTGTTTCTACCATTCCCTGTCCCCATTTCCCCATTCCTTGTGTGCTAACACGTAAGGCTAAACTTCAGAACTCCTTACAGTTTCCAGAACAGTCCTGCCATTCCTCTCTGCCTTTGTACAAGATGCTCTCTTGGCCTGGAATTCTCTTTCCTCCTTAGTCTACCTGGTAAACTTCTATTCATCCTTCAGAGCCCACCTCAAATATTCCCTTCTTCTAAGAGTGCTGTGTCTGATGCTCCCTTAATCTTCCTAGAGAGGGCTGATCACTCCCTGGTGTGCTGAGATTATGAATAGGTTTAGGAACTCTCAAAGGAGTTCCTTTGAACTCCGACTTGACCTAAGGCCAAGAATCAGGTAGCAAGACTATTACTAAACTAAAAGTACGGAGTCTGCTCCCCTCTGCCACCCCTGCCCCGCCCCGCCCATCACCTGCAATGCTTGCACTTCACTCCGAACATCATGCTCTTCTGGCACACGTGGCAGACCTGCGACAGCCAGGACTTGGTGGAGAACCTGCAGGGGGTGAACACACAGAAATGCTCAGAGGGGCCAGGATGGAGAAGGGTCCACAAAGCCGCAGAGAGACCAGGAGACTTGGTTCCATCCCAGAGCCCCGGGCACCCTCTCGCAGGCAGGGCAGGGACACCCAGGGGCCACTGCTTCCCCCAGGCATTCAGATTTCTTAGTCACAAAGTCTTCGTTGCCAAAGTCCCAAAGCTGGTGTGGTCACCGACGCCAGCTCTCTGGCAGGCAATTTGGCAAAAGCAATCAAAATCCTAAGTGCGCACACAGAGCGATTCCAGTGCCAGGAATTCATCCAACAGATGCTCCCACGGGTGTCAAACGACGTACTGAAAAGGTTACTCACTGTAGCATGTTTGTGGCAGAAAAGACGAGAAACAAGCTGTGTCGTTTAAGCGTACAGGTGACTGACTGCATAAAGTATGATCCGTGCACACAACCGAATACCACACAGCCGTAAAGTAAAATAAGGAAGCTCTTTTTGCACAAATAGGCAATGATCATTAAATTATGCTGTCAGTGAAAAAAGTAAGGTACAATGCAACACAACTCCACTTACGTGAAGTTCAAGTACAGGAAAAACTAACCTACGACGACAGAAGTGAAAAGTACCTCTGGGTGGTAGCACTACGGA